AATTATACTCAGACATGGAATATGATCGTTAACACTGATGAGACCAAAATGATGATTTTTAGAAATGGGGGAAAGATCAAAACCACTGAGTCCTGGACCTTTAATAACGTTAATGTCGACTTTGTAGATAATTTTAACTACCTCGGACTATTATTAAATTTCAATGGTAAATTCAGCTCCACACAACGGAAATTAGCAGACCAGGGTAGAAAAGCTTTATTTTCAGTCCAAAAAGTTTGTAATGATAATTATTTCAATATTTTAACCAAACTTTCTGTATTTGATACATACATAGGTACTATTTTATCCTACGGTTCAGAGATATGGGGTTTTCACAAAGCTAGGGAGGTCGAAAAAATTCATACTAATTTTGTGGGCACGTAATTCTACGAATACCTGTATGTTATATTTCGAACTGGGCAGGTAAAATTAAAATATTTAAATATTGGATCCGCTTATGTAATACAGAAAACAATTTACTTCGCCAGTGTTTTAAGGATATGATTATAAATGACGACCCATGGGTAATAAATGTAAAAAATGAATTATTTAAATTAGGGCTTGGTTATATGTGGGAAAACTCATTTCATAAGATTTGTAAATCCGATATTTTCATCATTAAAGGGAGACTACTCGACATATTTAGACAAGAGTGCTACGGGCAAATAAGACAATCATCTAAGGGAGTTATATATAAACAAATCATTGATACATTTTCCCTGCAATATTACCTAACAAAACAAATAAATATTAAATATCGTAAAGAAATAACTAAAATAAGATTATCAAGCCATAATCTCAATATAGAAAAGGGAAGATATAATAAAATTAAAAGATGCGATAGAATTTGCACAAACTGCAATTTAGATGATATTGAAGATGAATATCATTTTGTCTTAATCTGCCCATTATATACGGATCTTAGGATTAGTTATATGAAAAAAATACTTTTATACCAACTCCAGTATCTATAAGTTAATCCAACTATTAAATACTGATAAAGGTAATGAATTAATTAATCTAGGGAAATTTCTATACTTGGCAAACAAACAACGTGAATAGAAAAACGTTTGCTCTCCTATATTTCTAATTATATATTTAAATATCTAACCCTGTTTGATATGTGTTGTATATATGTGTTTGATATTGTTTTTGTACATACTGTATTTATTTATTTGTTTGCACTGTATGTTATACCTGATGAGTCTTTGACTTAAAGGAATAAAGAACTTGAATCAATCAAAACCACGTGGTCAAAATTGAGTTAACGTTCAAATTTGATTAATTAATTATCCCATTCCGGTTAACTCATTGAATGTCAATCAAATAATTAGTAATTCAATCAATCAATCTGTCAAGCAATCCAACCTAATCCATTAACGACAGACAGAAATTACTCTGTGTGTCAATGTTTCGGGATAAAACTAATGAAATCTGCAGACTTAACGTCCTTCATAGTCGTTCATTAAGATTAAATAGTATATTTGTGGTAGTTTTAATTCAAGGGCATGGTAGGTGTAGAACATTGACTTTTATATTTTAAGAGCTTTAATTGTTTACAATATTGTTTCAGAGAATAATTTATTTATACATTCCTTTGAAATTAAACTGAATTTTAAATGATGATTATATTGTTTCCTTTGCAGGAATAACAAAATACAACGTCACCTTTCCCTGATATTTACAACAAGGTCAACCAGATTCCTCGGAGCAGAGAACAGACATCGTATCCGTACCCATGTATCCCACTTGGTTCATATTATCAACATTGGAACAGTTACAGCGGAACTTCATTAAGCAAAATTACCAACTATACAGAACATCCACAACAAACGTTGGTGTCTTCGGAGCCGTGCACCAGTCCTAATTATTACCCAAGTCACTCTGTGTCTCCTTGTGTCACGTCACCATATACAGACCGCATATCATAACCCACAGCCAGTTTTTCGTTACCATGTCCACCTACCGTACCATACGACAAGAACATACTCTTGGGAATTTCAACTAGTGCTACAAGTATTTACAGAGGTCCAATTGCAAATCATACTTCCAGTTTCGAAGAAGTAAATAAGTCACCGGTGTCACCAGAAAGACCGACAAGCAACCTAGATGATAGTGGTAATTCTTCAAATCTTTCATCCACTTCAATTTCACCATCCAACAAGCCAGTTTCTGATTGTACACCCTCATTCCCTCTTCATTCTGAATGTACCACAAAGATTATTATTAAAAACAATAGTAGAACCAACTACAGTCCACAACAAGTAAGATCCTTAGAGAAAATATTCCTTGAAACACCTTATCCTGAAGTTGAGGTCATTGAACAATTATCTACAGATTTAAGTATCCCAAAGAAGAATTTAAAGGTGAGTTTCACAACCTAGCCACTTTATATCTTAAGTGTAGCTTACTTGTAGTTAAGTCTAGAGTATGGTGCGTGTGTTATACAGGATATGTTAACTTTGTGTTCTAGAACATCTGATGACATATATATTGTTTGATATGTTCACATAGCTAAATAATGTTTCTTATATTGGGACACCTTTTATACCAACTTGTATGTTGAAGATCTAATTTTTAATGTTTTTTTATTTTTATGTTACAGATTTGGTTCCAAAACAAAAGAGCAAGATGGAGGAAAAGAGTTCAAAGTGTAACAAACCAACATTCCTACCAGTTTGTCCCAGTTACCAGCCATCAATCCCACCAACTGCTTCTCCTTATAACATGTTGTCTCCAAGATAACCTAGTCAATATTTCATTGCTAACTAAATCTGTCAGCGACCACTATAACAGTCTTGTTAAGTTAATTAATGTCTAATTAATAATTTAGATAATATTTCAAGTCTAAAGAAAGACCTTAAGTAGGCAGATTAAGCCCTTGCATAATGTATGTTTAATGTTGAGGTTGGGTGTATACGTACTTTGTGCCTTCAATCTCTAGGTAATCTACTTCACATTCCACATCCACTTCATGTAAGTCTGAAATTTGGGGTATAGGGGTAGCTCGGACCGGGGAGTAACATAGGCCAGGTGGCGTTAGTCTACCACTTCCGGTTTCGGAGTTATGACCCCCGAGCGAAGCCGGGTATCCTGCTAGTAAATGAATAAATCTGAGTTTAGGGGACAATGTACCTGGTTTAGTATCGAGTGTATGGAATTCGTTTAACATTTGCAAGCATTCTGCTGGTTCTTCAGTAAATACAAAATGATGCAATTCACATCAACTGATTACCATTTGTTTTATGACAAATGATTTTGTTTTAAACTCCTTCCCACATGTAAAATGGCGGGAGTTTCATCAACAGTTGGTGTGGGGTGGGACGGTGGATGGGCGAATGGTTAGCACGTGCGCGCTTTATCATAAGGTCTGTCACTGAGTCACAAGGAGCAGGGTCGCCTGTCCAACATCGTGGGTTTTCACCGGGTCCTCCGGTTCCCTCTCACTGCTAAAGACCCCTACGCGCAAGCGAATAATTGTAAAATGGCGGGATTTTCATCAATAGTCTTGACCTATTAAATCTTAAAAGTCGATTCCGACTATTTTGTGGAAATGTATTTGGTTTAGTTTAAAATGTAAACTAGTATACTACTGAGATAGTACTAATGAAATGGGGTTTAACGTCCTAGTCTGAGGTACCGACTGCGATAATGAAGACGGTCATATGCCATACAGTGTGCTATGAGGGCAATTTTCCAGTACAGCGACACTACGACTCTAATATCGATTTCTTTTACGTACACATCAATTTGACACTGGGCATAAGGTTTTCGCTTCATTCTCAGGACTATACGATTTCATATGCCAAGTCATCCGCCCTGTATCACTGAAAAGGGAAAACTATGCCGAAAATCCTGGTGAACTTTCCTTGGACCTTCAGGTTAGCAAGCCAACGTCTTACTGACTGAGTCGGTGTTGATCTGACCATCCTATCTTAATATGTTAACAGGGGTTCACGGTGGCTAAGTGGGCACGACGCTGGCTCGCTATCCTGAAGATCGGGTGTTCGATCCCTGCATTGGCCGAGAAAGTTCGTCCAGATTTCCCGGCGTGGTTCCACCTTGTCAATGATGCAGGACCGAGGGCCTGACAAGGACAGATGTCTAGTCGTTGGTGTGCACGTAAAAGATCCCCTGATAGTTGGAATTCGATTTAAGAGTTGGCCGTAGTGTCGCTGTCCGGACAAAATTTCCCCCATAGCACACTGTATGGCGTATGCCAGTCTTCATTAGCCCAGTTCGGAGCAGAACAGTAGGAGGTTAAACCCCATTTCATTTCTGATATGTGAACACCAGACGGTTGAACTGAATAGAAATTGAGTTTGACGTCAGGCTGGTCTAATGCTAAAGGTTGAAATGAATACGGATAGACCTGAGGCTCAGTGCGGCTGGGGGGGGGGGGCATCAAATGGGCACAAAACCAGACCCAACTTTTCTATACAAAATTTTTGCGTATGCCGGATGGTAATCAGTCCGCCGTTGGTGAGTTTTTGAGATATTCTGGGTCAAAGGTCAAAGGAAATATGCTGAAAATGATGAAAAGTAATCACTCTTTCAATAAAAATGTAAACTCGCTAAATTCACCTTTAGTCTTGGTGACCCCGGAGGTCAAAAGGTAAAATTTTCCGTATTTGCACTAGGAAGATTTAAAGTAATAAAATGGCAGCCTAAAATATAAAAACTAAACCAACATTTAAAACATTTAAAACTTATCTTTAGGTGGTCTTAGCACCGTACATTTACTTAGGAGAATGTGGTCGTGTTACTAGTTACTAATAGATTGAAGGGCAATAACTCCCATTATCCCATTATGGGGAAATATTTATACAATTTTCTTATAGATCAAGTAGAAATAAATTTGATTAATTGAGGTGATCATAGATGTATTATAAACACAGTATGTCGACATATTGACATGAAGAGTGTTTAGATGACATTTCGGTGGTCGGGCTGGTGGACGGCGATGTTGACTATACTCTCAAAAATAAAATAAGGGCGTATGTTTTCAAATTAATTTATTTGTCATTTTAAATGATAAAATATTGACCGGGTAGTTACCAACGTCCTGCTCCGTCATATGTCTGTTTTACCAATGCAAATAGTGTCTGAAAAAGAGCAAACGAAAATTGGAAATGGACATATTAATAATATAGAAGAATAAAGCGTCAATTAACAAACAATAATACTTATTCTTTCTCTTACACTGGGCTCGGAAAACTGTTTTTTGTACACATGTCCTAATTTCCTAATTACACTGGATTCTCGTTTCAACATTGACCTGTACATAAATGATCCCTTGACAGCTGCAAGTTGAAATAAGAGTTTGTCATTGTGCCGCTGCCCGGGCAACATATCCCCCAAAACACACCATATTATGGTGTATGCCCGTCTGCATTAGTCCAGTCGGAGCAGAACAGTAGGACGTAAAACCCATTTCATTTCATGTGCTGATGGTAATATAAATCTGATAGTCCTGTAGGATGAGTGGTGCTATATCTGATAGTCCCGTAGGATGGGTTGTATTATATATGATAGTTCTGTAGGTTTGATGATACTATACATGATAGTCCCGTAGGATGGTTGTATTATATATGATAGTCCTGTAGGATGGGTTGTATTATATATGATAGTTCTGTAGGTTTGATGATACTATACATGATAGTCCCGTAGGATGGGTTGTATTATATATGATAGTTCTGTAGGTTTGATGATACTATACATGATAGTCCCGTAGGATGGGTTGTATTATACATGATAGTCCCGTAGGATGGGTTGTATTATATATGATAGTTCTGTAGGTTTGATGATACTATACATGATAGTCCCGTAGGATGGGTTGTATTATATATGATAGTCCTATAGGATGGGTTGTATTATATATGATAGTTCTGTAGGTTTGATGATACTATAAATGATAGTCCTGTAGGGTGAGTGTTACTGGTATATGTTTTATGTTCTATTTTTAATACAAAAGTACATCTAGTGTTAATTGTATAAACTGTACAGGTAACAGAGAAATTATATTCTGTAACCTCGCCATACCTTATATTTCATATCTGCTTTTCTTGCACGTGTATCCAAAGCTTGTAAACGCATGGCCATAACAGAACGATCCATCTCTCCAGTTGCTGTAAATAGAAACAATGGAAGTTAAATTACTTTGTATAATTAGAGCTTCTCAATAAATTGGTTAGATACTGTGAAGCCATATGCTATATACACCGTTTTCCATGTGTGAATTTCTACGTGTGAAATCAATCGAAAGTAAAGTGAATTTAAGATGTCCATAACCGCCGTGACAATTGTTAGATATTAATTACGTAAGGTTTATAAATATATTTACCGTAAATTCACATTAACCTTCTGTAGTAGACTTACGTATCTCTGACGATAAAACGGTGGGTAGGTACGGGGTTCATTAGATGACCATGAGATCGGTTAATGATTTCTATATCAAAATAGAGTTATAGAGTTTACTAAGATTTTATGGTGTGTGGTCTGACAGACTATATGTAGCAGATCTCTATAGAAATGCATCTAGAAGTTTTCTTGACCTCTAGAGGGGGTCAGTAATATGTGTGGGCGTAAGGGTCAGGGTCGGAGAGGGGGGGGGGCTGTTTAGAGAGAGATACTGTCTTACCACCAAAATTGGATACTAGTACATCAGTGCCCGTGAGGAAACCATCTTGATTCCTGTCTATCATATCGAACGCATAACTGGCCAGCATCTTCTGATAACAGTAAACATTAACCATTCTGTTGACGAATTCTCCTCTCGATATTTTACCATCATCTAAAATTTGACCAAATAAAACCACATTCAATAATTTAACCACCACAACTGACATCTTAAATATCCAAAGTGACCTCAGGTTCTTTAGCTTAATAATTGCTTCTTTTACCAATTTACAATAAAAACACAACTATTTAATTTATTGCAAAATGTATATTATATGATCAATTTACATATAACATTTTAGAGGTTTTCACACAAAAATTTCTATGATTTAAAATTACAGTTCATTTTGGCATGTAACACACTGTCCTTTTAATTTTATCAATCCACCTGGCTAGCATTCTGATTAATTCTTCAAATTGTGTAGTTTTTTTTTTTAAAGCTATTTAAACCCCGAACACATATCGTCCAATTGGTGTTACTGTAGATAATGAAAAACAGTCATGTCTGGTCCTTTTAAAATCTCTCTGATCTATGTAAAGTAACAGCCATGCTTTAACTGTAACTTATCTCATATGTCTCTGACAAACTTTTTCAATTCGTCCACCAAGAAACTTTAAGTGACTCAAACATCCAATCACAACTTGCATCACAATCCAGACATATTCATTACTTTACACCCCCATTACCTAACTTGTTAAAACATACCAACAATCATTCTGTATAAAAAAAACCGGCGCATATACATTTAAAATAATTAAACTTTATTATCAAAAAATTGTACAACAATTCGATTAATATTTAAAAAAAAATATTCCTTTTAATCATGCACCAAATTAATTAGGTACCGAAATCAACTGTGTCACAATTATACCCACCATCATTTGTGACACAGCTTTTTGATTTTATTATTAGCTATACTGTTTCGATAGTGTCCGTCTCAAATTGAATGTGGTACTTGCGACCCAGGGCAAGATGTATCAACTTAAATGACAGGAGGCCTTCCAATGGCTTCTTAAACGCTAAGCAAAGGTACCCAACTATATTGTCGACAAAACAGACAACTCAGAAAAAAGGGAAGTTCTTATCAACTAGACTGCTGGACTGTAATTAAAAAAGACATATTTTATTGGTCGGACCTTTTTTTAAAAAGTATTTAATTATAAGCTGTGTACCTGTTTTGTGAATCTTTATTTTATCCAACTGAATATCAATATTTTTAATTCTATTAATTTGAGCATAACTATATGTTATTTATTGTGTATTTTACAGACAATGGGCTATTTGTCGCCGTTTATTAGAAACTGGGAGTCATATGATAATACGAATTACTCTTACTTGATGTATCGCCTAATACAATATGGTTTCTATCTTCAGTCAGGCTGATTTTACCATCATTATTGGCATCCAAATTATCTAAAAGAGCATTGACGTCCAGATAGGTTCCACCAAACGACCTCGAACTGTCAAAATACAAATATATCTATACAGGCTATTCAAAGTGTGACTTTTGTAAGGAACTGTGTTGGGCCATTATGCGTATAAATACACAATACGATTTTGATTGTAAGGAGAGAGAGAAATAGGGTTTAATGTCCACTCGACACAACTAGGTCATTTCGGGACTATCATATGGTTTAATTTTATTTCAATTATTCGCTTGCGTAGGGGTCTTTAGCAGTGGGAGGAAACTGGAAGACCCGGAGGGAGAAAACCCACGAGGTTGGACAGGCGACTTTACTCCTTGTCACGTACAACCGGGGATTCGAAACCACGCCAGTTGACCCAATGACAGGTCTTATGATACAGCGCTCAAGTGCTAACCATTCAGCCATCCGGGACACAATCAATAAGAGGAGCCTATCATGCTTTATGAGATTAGACTTTTGTTCGAGACTATATTTTATTTTTCTGATTAATGACCAAAAGTATTATGACAAATAAGTCTAGAAAATATGGGTTTCGTCTAATTCTTCATTTCATTTGATCAAAGATCAATAGCAGTCTGCAAAACACGTCCAAAACATTTCTTCTCGCAAAATTTATTTATAGCTGGTTGTCAAGAATATCGAAAACTTTTAAATTAGTTACCTGCACTTTGATCCGTTGCTAAGTGACGTCATTAACACCAGGCACACAACCAATGATATAGCTCTATTCATTGTGCCGATCTGCAGTAATGAAATAAAGTATCATAGAAGTTTCATAATCTAAAATAGATACACGTAACAACGGGTGTCATACAATCTAAACTAGATACACGTTACAAGGGCTGGTGTCATATAACTGGTGTCATATAATCTGAACTATATACACGTTACAACTGGTGTCATATAATCTGAACTATATACACGTTACAACTGGTGTCATATAATCTAAACTAGATACACGTTACAAGGAGTGGTGAAATATAATCTAAACTAGATACACGTTACAAGGAGTGGTGAAATATAATCTAAACTAGATACACGTTACAAGGAGTGGTGAAATATAATCTAAACTAGATACACGTTAGAAGGGATGTCATATAACGGGTGTCAAATAATCTAAACTTGATACACGTTACAACGGGTGTCATATACGGTGTATGGTATGCTTACTCTATTTATAAAACCGCTTCTGGGTTGTACAACCATTGAGAACTCCTCCAATAATAAGTAGTATGCGTTGTTTTAATCACGGACACGGTGCAGGGGCGGCATGGGGAACAAAGGGAAACGTTGGTACCAAAAACCACGAGGAACTGTGGTCCCATAAACGGGAAAGTAAATTCATATAACCCTGCACAATAATTAACTGCTTTGCCGAATGTTGTCACGTGTGCTTTTTAGATCATAAAATCTTTGATTGTTTCTTGGCGTTCGCCTGTCAAACATCGTGTACTTTCTCAGGGTCCTCTTATTCTCTTCAACTGCTTATAAAGACCCCTACGCCCAAGTGAATTACTGAAATAACATTGAACTATAGATTAGTCCCAAATTGACCGAATATATGTTAAGTGGACATTAAACCACATTTCTCTCTCTTATAATCAAATATCTTACCTTATCCAAGCTCCAGTGACTTCTTGTAAAATAGATTAGAAAACACACAAACTCCAGCGACTGTATCCTACTTGTAGTAAAATAGATTAGCGTGGTGTATGAATATAGATAGACCTTGTAGCGTGATGTATTCAATGCTAATATTTACATAACATAGAATTAGTCACCAGTAAAACTCGACTATACACTTTTAAATACAACTTATTACTCAGCAAAATATATAATAGATCTTATTTCTTAATGTTATAGACAAGTAAGGGATCGAACTCACGACTCTTGCATAGATGATAAACCCTTTGTTAGACTTGATAGCGATAAACTACTAAACAATTCTTGGTGTCTACGAAATGGGGTTTAACGTCTACTCGACACGTCATGAGGATTATTTTGAGACTAGCAGTATGTTTTGTTTCTATGATTAGGCCTGGTAGCTCGGATGGGATGAAAAACCAAGAACTCGTTTATGGTGCACATTAAAGACCCATTGTCAGTTTGAATTAGTTACACATCATCCTTGTTGAATGGGCATGGATTTGAAACGTTTCTTGAAGATCGGGCTATTATTTGCTTTAATGGGCCGGGGTGGGTGGGGTTCTGGTTGACCTCAACTATGATGACTAGACATTTTAAAAGAGAGATATGTCGTAATAATATTAAAATTATTAAACATAAGGACAATCGTGTTCGTTTAGTCATATATCTTTATATATGTAATTGATTAATTTTCGTCCCTTGACCTCGTGGGTAGCGTTGCGGTGTCGTACTCACTGAGCCACGGTGGTTCCTATAAACAGATCGATGATGTTGATGAAGTGTCGCTTGAAACTCGGGGTATTATTTGTTTATATGAGACCTCTGTGAGTGTGGTTGTGGATAACCTTGACTAGTATGACTAGACGTAATTATATATAGTATAAAATACCGGAGTCTAAGTCAATAATTCAGACAAGCACCTTGTCAATATTCAAGTAAAGATTTTGTAATGTTTAATCCGGTCACCTGTCACACACCACTTGGCATATATATTTCTAAATATAATTTCATATTTTCATTAACTTGTTGAAGTAATATTCACCATTTTTAATATCTCAAGTTATTGAAGTAATATTTCACCATTATTAACATCTCAAGTTAATGAAGTGATATTTTCACTTTTCTTAACATTTAAATTCATTAAAGTGATATTTTCACTTTTCTTAGCATTTAAATTCACTGAAGTAATATTTTCACTATTCTTAATATCTAAAGTTATTAATGCGATATTTTCACTTTTCTTAACATGTAAAGTTATTAACGTGATATTTTCACTTTTCTTAATATATAATGTTATTAAAGCGATATTTTCACTTTCCTTATATTGTAAAGTTATTAACGTGATATTTTCACTTTTCTTAATATCTAATGTTATTAAAGCGATATTTTCACTTTTCTTAACTTGTAAAGTTATTAAAGTTAAATTTTCACTTTTCTTAACATGTAAGTGTATTGCAGTAATATTTCACCATTCTTATCATCCCCTTCTTTAAGATTAGTAGTCGGGGTGGGGCATATATATCGATAGTTTAGACAGTGATTACGTGCCATTAAATTATGCATGCAATGACATCAGCAGATTTTATTTGCAAACTGCGTTAACTTTAAAACCGTTAACATCACGTCGAGATGAAACTCGAATATTTACAAAGATAGAAGATATGACTTACACTAATGTTAAGCTTCTGGAAGAGGCCCAATCTCACCCAGAAGTTAGCACGGCATGGTTTGCAGTTGATCAATCCGGTCTAACAATTCGAATCCAGATGCACATGAATATAAGTGAAGAGATAAAGAGAATAAAACACAAATTAGCTAGAATCAAAAAATGATGACAAAATCTTAATTCACAATATTACACCTCTAGTATAATGATAAAAAATCATATACTATTAGTTGTTTCTACGTCCATCCTTTATTCGTAATGTTTAACATGATTTAATATCAATTCTCGTCTTGATTATCTATGTTTAAATGAAACACTGAGATTTATTTACTTGTTTGTATAATGTAATCACGTTTAGTATATAGCTAACACATCGCTCTTATATTCAGAGGGGGGTTGGGATGGCCTAGTGGTCTAGAGTGTCACGCTTCGACCTCTAGCTGGCCGGTCACCTCTGGCTTGCGGCTGTGGTTTCGATCCCTGGTGTGAGCGTATGTGGCATGGAGATAGGGGCGCCTTCTCAACCTCGTGGGTTTACTCCGGGTACTCCGGTTTCCTCCCACACGAAAGACCCCTGCGCGTGCGCTAAGATCATGAAAATAAAAAAAGACAACTTGTCTGCGATATCACCTTCGGTGGAAGCGGACGTTAAACACTAACAACAACTTATATTCAGTACCGTTAATCACTACTCACTACTGACTTAGTTTAACGAGCGCTTGTTTACATCTCTAAAAGGGCCAAACGGTTGATCAACTATCCTATCCACATTTTGGCTTACATGATCATTTTATACTATTCTTCTATTCTTATCATCTTAATATATAGAATACATGTTTCCTCTTATAATAGGTTGCTTTTGAGCTCTTATGTATTCGTATTTTGAAATTTTGTTACATATTGTTATTTATTTATTGTGTTTATTCGTGTGTATGTTCATTTCCGTATATATGTTATATTTTGCCGTGCACTTAACACACCCTCTAGAAACTACCCATACTTATAAATCCATAATAGGAACAGAACCACACCCTTCTCCTTCCATGATCAATTAAGTAACAGGGCGCACCCTAGACAAGTAGATCTAAACCCTATCTTTATTGGCAGAAGGGGGGCGTGTGGGGTTCATATTAAATACTGTAATATACTGGTTGATTTATTTATATTTGCTTGTAATGTAATTACCGCATCCTACATTAATCTCATAAATGCATTAATTTTCACACTGCTTATCAGATCTGGGGACATCAGACTAAACCCTGGTCCTATCCATTCGTCAAAGGACCATGTAACAATATTTCATCTTAATACGCGAAGCATTAGAAACAAACTCGACTCTGTCTCTGAACTGATCGAAGACTATCACATTTGTGGTTTCACAGAAACGCGTCTTGATAACAGAGTAGATAATGAGATTCTTACTTTTAGAAATTTTCACCAGCCGTTTAGAAAAGATAGGAATTTCAGTGGGGGAGGAATTCTAGTGTATGTTGATAAGAAACTATCATGTAGACGAAGATCAGACTTAGAATTTAAGGACGCTGAAATAGTTTGGGTTGAAGTGAAGTTAAAACATGATATCATATTGGTAGCTACTGCTTAATCATAATCGGGGTTCTCAATTTTGATCTTTTAGGTCTAAAAAATGGTCAACTCTATGATTTGATACTAACAATCTGAAAAATATCATTTATGAACCAACTAGAGTTACCGCTTCAAAATCATCCTTGCTAGACGTGATTCTTATTCAAGACGAGATTAAGATATGTCTAAGTGAAACTATAGATATTGATAAGAACATATCACACCATAAAGGTGTTGCTGCGATTCTAGACTTGCGTACTTATTCTAACCCGTGTTTTGAACGAGAAATTGTTCTATACAAGCTAGCAGACTACGAAAAGTTAAATAACCGTATTTCTGATTTTAATTGGGATGAAGCGCTAACTCCTTTTGGCTTAAATAGCACAATTGATATCTTCTATTCAATTATTACGAAATTTACAAACGAATGTATTCCCAGGAAGAAAGTAATTATTCGACCTTCGGATAAACCCTGGTTTAATTCAAGTCTACGTAAGGAGATTCGGATTCGTGATCGTCTAAGGAAGCGGGCCATTCAAACAAAACGACCTAGCCATTTAGTGAAATACAAACATCAACGTAATAAAGTTAATAATTATAAAAAAAAGTTTTAAAAACAGAGTACAATGACAGGTTGGTATCTGAATTGTCAAATCCAGAAGCGAGTCCCCAAGATTTTTGGAAACATATTAAACATTATATAGGTGAAAAGGTAGATTCTCATATACCACCGTTGATATCAAGCAATACAGGCATTATTGCACATTCAGATTTCGATAAGGCCGAACTTTTAAATACATTCTTCGGTTCCGTTTCCAACAATGTTGACAAAAAGGAATTTCCGTATTTGCCCAAACGAACAAACTCTCTGTTTCACATGCCGGAAATTACCAATCAAGAGATTATTGATGTTATCCTAACCCTAAAAATAAAAAAGGCCAACGGCCCCGATAAAATAAATAACTGTCTATTGAAAAATGTCCTTTCTACGATATTCTTACCCCTGAAACTATTATTTAACAAATCACTTAGTTCTATAGTAGAAAACTGTTGGATCCCTTTCCTTCATCTATAGTTCAAGTCATTGAATTCCTAACCTATCAGTTTCATGAAGAGAACAAATCCTATAGTGCTCTTAATTCATACCGCTCGGCTTTATCATCAGTGCTTCAACCAGTTGATGGTTTTCCAGTTGGAAAACATCCAACTGTTATTCAGTTTATGAAAGGTGTTTTCAATATCAGGCCTTCTGTACCTAAATATTGTGTGACATGGGATGTGTCTATTGTGTTAAACTATATCAAAACCTTACCATGTGATTCTAAGCTAACTTTAAGAGAATTATCCCATAAATTAGCTATCCTTATTGCTCTTGTTTCTGCTGATAGAGGTCAATCCATAACATTACTAGACTTAGAATATTTATCAGTCCTTCCGGACAAAGCTGTCTTTGTTATTATGGGTGTAACCAAAACTTCTAGACCGGGCAAACCGTTAAAGAAGGTTGTACTACCATCATTCCCAGATTGTGTTAACTTGTGTGTTAGATCCACTTTACTACATTACATTGAACAAACACTGAATTTACGAAAGTGTAGTACTTTGTTTATCTCCTTTGTAAAACCACACAAAAAGGTTACATCTACTACCGTTGCACGTTGGATTAAAAGTGTGTTAATTAAATCAGGAATACAGGGCTTTGATGCACATTCCACTCGCTCGGCTTCAACCTCAGCAGCCCTTGAAAGTGGACTATCCATTACGGATATTTTAAAATCCGCAGACTGGTCTAGAGAATCAACTTTTAATAAATTCTATAACCGACAAACTGTAAATATTAATTTT